CATCCATCCATCCATCCATCCATCCATTCCTCCTTCAAATCTCCGTTGCCAAATCAAAGCCAAGGAGCCACACATCAACTATTGACCCCAGAGGAGCTGTTCTAGGACAGCTTTTCCTGGTGCTTCCCTGCCACCACTGCAGCCAGTACAGCTGGATGAGTCCCTGCACTGGGTAGGAAGGGGAGGACAGCAAGCTGGTCCTAACCTCACAACCTCTGGGATCACAAAAGATTTCCTTAAGCAGATGTGCCCTTGAGAAAGGACAGGATGTGGTAATCAGCTGCACAACAAATTAAAATCTGCATATTTACCATGCACAGTAGCAAAAGGCAAAAATGAATATGCGCGTGGATTTATGAGTCGCGGAGATAGTAACGGTCACTTAATCACAACTCGTAACTTCCTACTACCCTCAGAATTCATTTCTGTTTCCTGCACAAGGCAAAGAGCCACAGTGGACTCAGCTGAGCAGGAATTACTGGAATCTGAGGTTGCAAGGAGAATTTCAGCAGATGCCTATTGCAAGGGAGAAGAGAGGAGTGTGTCCCTCTGTACAGAAGAAACACATTAGAATATGCCACAAAGGGAACATACTGTGACCCACATTTGCAAAACAGGAATGTCAAACTGTGTTTTCATCAGCCCTCCCCTAAAGAAACCATTTGGTTTAGTGAAATTAGGTTGGACAGGCTATCCACTGTGGCTTTTGTTTTTTTGGGGGGTCTATATCTAGAGCTGTGCAGCACTTTGCTTTGTTTAACTGTCAACAGCTTTCCTTACATGAAGAACTTTGCCACTCTGTGTTCAAAAGAATTATCCAGAAAACAAAAAAACTCTCCAGAACTGCTTTTGGTTTTAGCTGGGAACTGCTCCCTCCATGGCAGCTTTTCTGTTGCAGAGGGGCACCACAGTGCCAAAAGAGCCAGGCTGAGATGGTTGTCCCATGCCAATGAACCCCTCCATGCCAGCTCATGGCCCCACTTGCTCAGAGCTTTGAGAATGAAATGCTTAGAAAGCTCCCCAGCACTGTGTAGAACTCCTGGGAACCCATCACTGCGCAGGGCGTCATTTGTCTCTCAAGAGGGTTCATTGGAAAAGCTCCCAAAGAGACCCAGGACAGAAAATCTCCAGGATTCCTTCCCTGAGCCCCTCCTTACCCACCTGTGCTGTCGTCGTACACCACGGTGGCCGACCTCCACTTCAGGTACTGCACCAGGTCCAGGATGGCGTGGCTCAGGGAAGCATAGTCAGGATACAGGTTGACATAGAAAGTGTCCTTGTTATCCAAAGGGTGATGCTTCCACCGGAGCTGGATGTGGGGCACTTCCAGGGCATTGCAGATAGACTGGACAGCGTTGGTGCAGGAGCCTTGGGAAGGTCCAAATATTGCAACGACCCCCAGAGCGAGCTGGTCACAAGCTGGAGGGGGAAGGCAGGGATGTCAGCAAAGCCTGGGGGGGCTAAGCATGGGGCAGCTGTGGGTACAGCCATGGGTACAACCCAGACACTTGTGGGCACTGACCCAGCACTGATATTGGGTAATTACAGCAGTGATTGGGTACAGAGAGAACAATTTATGCCAGGTGGGTATAGACCAGTGGGTAGAGGCACAGAGGAGTCCCAAGCTCCTCTGAGAGATTCTCCTCCACAAAACATTCAGAAAAGGGACTGGGTAGAGGCACAGAGGAGTGCCAGGCTCCTCTGAGAGAGCCTCTACCACAAAACCATTTATAAAGGGACTGGGTAGAGGCACAGAGGAGTGCCAGGCTCCTCTGAGGGAGCCCCCTCCACAAACCCATCTGAAAATGGACTGGGTAGAGGTGCAGGGGAGGCCAAGCTCCTCTGAGGGAGCCTCCAGCACAAAACCATCTGAAAAGGGACAGGGGGTCACTGGGCTGGCTGGGAGCTGATAGCTGCTGCTCCCTCCTGCTGATGTCCCTCCAATAGCTGCCAGCTCAGGCAGCAGGTTTCCTTTCTCCCCAGCCAGAATCAAACTCCACGAGCCCTCAGGTCACCAGCTCGCAGCCTTTGCTGTGCAGTCCCTCCCCTTCAGCAATTCAAGTGTGCTGCTGTTATCCAGTAATCAAAAGTGACTGTTGTGAAGAGAACAGAACATCCACGCGATGGATGTGAGCACTGCCAGGGATGCAGCGACACAAACACAGGCATGGCCTCCAGACCTTTGCTCAGGATTAGAGCAAACCTGAAAGGAGTTTTCTGAGGTTTCAGAGGCAAAAAAAGGTAGTTGTTCCCCTTGTATTAAAATGCCTCTGGAAGGTCAGCTCCAGCAGGAGCTCTCATCCAGATCACTGGTGAGAGCAGGACAGAACAAGCTGCTGGTCTGGAAACCAGACCTTTCTTCTGCTGAATAAATGGCCACAAAGCTGCTCAGAAGTTTGCTCTGCTCTTACCTTTCTTAGTTGCTTCAAAGCTGTCGTGGAAGTGTATCCTCTGGATGTCATAGGTGAGGGTTGTGTTGGGCAGCAAAGTTCTGTTCCTGTTAATGATGTTGGCGGAGAATCTGAAGGCTTGTTCCTCAGCACTCATCACCTGCGTGTTGGGGCCATCTGCGTACTCAAAGATTCCTCCTGCAAGACAAAAAAAATCCATATTTGAGCCACAGCTTGTTTCACAAACTCACACAGCAAGGATGAGAAAACTCTTGGAATGTTTTCAGGTGGAGCAGAGCTTGCTTGAGTACCTGTCCTGCACTGAAATAAAGATATGAAAACTCGGGACTTTTTCTTATATCCTGGTCTATGAGAATGTTCAGGGTGGCAGCTTTGTGGGGCAGTAACAAGTGGTTTAAAGTCTTGGAATATTTTTACGAGTGAGATAAGTGGTTTTCCATAAAACTTTAGGACCAGACCATGGTCTGTGCTCTGAGGAGTCACTGGGTACAAAACTGACACTGCTGTCCTCTTGAAATCCTCCTGCTTCAACACATGCTGAAGTTTATCATTTCAGGTTGACTTTGTTTACATAGATATTTGTCTCTGGAAACCATTTTATGCCATGTTTGGGGGGCCTTTGGTGCAGTGGGATCTGAGACTGGGAGTCAGCCTTGTAGGAGATGCCTCACACAAGGTGTTGATGAAGGCTTTCAACCCTTATCACTTATTTTACATCTAGTCCTTGCACAGCAGACAGGCAGGGCAATGCTGCTGCTGGCTATTTTCAGTGCCATTTTCAATCCCCTTCTCCTTTTTTATTGTTCCTCATATTTAGTCCTCCAAGTTTTTAATTCAGACCAGCAGAGACTTCTGGATTTGCCTACCCTACAGCTCCTCTGCTCAGTAATGCACATCTCAGATGCAGCTTTCCTGTGTTCAAAAGTTGTTAATGCCATTACACCTCCCCAAGGGCAACAAGCTCATGTCACAACATGGCTGGGTTTCTTGGCTCTGTGTCTGTGAGTCTTGTCCTCAGTTCCCACTGACAGCCACTCTAATTGGAGTGACTTGGTGCAGGCATGGGTTATGTAATGGAGTGTCCTTGTCTCTCAGATGCAGGAGCCACCCTGAGCCCCTCACAGAACCACAGAATGACACAATCCTTGCTCGTATTTTATTCAAAAGTAAACCAAAATAATTAATGGATGAGCGAAATAAGCAAGTACAATTGGTAACAGATGGTCTCAGGGTTCATTAGCAGAAGGAAAAACCTTCCTCTTCAATTTAAGATAGTCCTCAAATGTTTTCTTGTAGACAACAGATGTCTGCTCAGCCCTGCTGGCTTTCAGGCAATGCCATGAATCCTCCTCCAGCAGCCTGAGCACATTTTCTATAGTTTTGTGGCAGTTTGGTGCTGGCCAGGAGTTCCAGTTTGTCCAGAGCCAAGCTGACAACTTCACTGATGGCCAAGTGTCCTCCTGGAAATGTGACCAGAGCCATGGACAGGGTGAAGCACAGGAGTGATGGTTGGAGATGTTCTCAGCAAGGAAACAGAAGGATTTACAAAACCCCTCTGACTTTCTGCTCCCCTTGATTGTGACAAGTCCCTTTCCTCCTCTTCCTCTGCAGTCTTTGTGCATCCTGTCCCCAGTTGTGAAGTGAGTGTGGGAATTAATTTACATTCATAGACGTAAAATAAGTTTGAGCTGTTTCCTGCATGCCTCTGCTACAAAAAAAACACTGAGCTCAGTGCTAATTTTGGTAATAGGCAGAAGAATAAAGAAAAAAGAGGCTGAATGCTCATTCTGGAGTGTCATTTCAGTCTCACGTGATTTTCAGCCAGTCACTCATGGGCAGGTTTTCAATCCAGAGTGCTGAGCAACGTAGGCAGGAGTGTAGCAGAATTGTCCACGTGCCTCATTCTCACTGGATTGTGCCAAAACATTTGGGTTTTGACTGGTGCAAAGAAAATTATTCATCCACATCAAAGCTTGCATATGCTGGCAGCTCAACTTAAGTTTCTTAGGGCAGAAGAAAGTTCATCTACAACATTAAATCATACACAATAAACAAATCTAAAGTGAGTGTGAGATTCACCCCATCTCTCTGTTCAAAGCTTCACTGTCCAGGCTGTTTAGCCAGGGATTTTTTGTTTTCTAGCATTGTCCTGAAGTGATAACTGGTAAATGTTACATTGATTATCCACTAGCTGGCATTAGCCTTTCTCCCAGCCCAGCACTTTCAAAGTTGCTTTGGAGCATGTCTTATTATGAGATAATACAGAAGGGCTGGGAATGTGGATTATTGGTGCTTGATCCTAAATAAATTCCTGTTCCAGACATCCAGCTGGATATAATAGGCTTTTTGGCAGGAAAGAGTTTTCTGTGCAGCCACCCAGCACCTTGAGCTCAGGGCCAGGCAATGAGAGAGCTGACAGGCAGCAGGGATGTATTTCTGTGCATTTCCCACTGCTGGGAGCCCACCAGGAATACTCTGGGACACTGGGAATCTCTCTGAGGTGATGACGGCAGCCGTGGCATGCCCAGTTTGGTGTTGTCTCAGAAACTGGTGAGACTGGGAGCACCTGATGGTGCTGGAAGTACTCTGGGAATACTGGAAGTACTCTGGCATCACTGTGATATTTTTTAAAAAATCCCTTTGCCAGGATTTTTCTCTTGAGAAGCTGAGAAGCCTCAGCTTCTCCCTGTTTTATTGCTTTGGAATGTGATTTGGAGATTGTTTATCCAGCATGTGAATTGTTTTTACTCAATGACCAATCACAGCCAGCTTCCTAGAGTCAGGACTCTAGAAAGAGTCACAGGTTTTTATTATTCATTCTTGTTAAACCTTCTGATCTATCCTTTTCTCTATTATTTAGTATACTTTTAGTATAGCATTCTTTTAATAGAATATGTATAATAAAATAATAAATCAACCTTCTGAGAACATAGAGTCAAATTCATTCTTCACTCATCCTAGAAACCTCACAAAAACCACACTCTGGAAATACTGGGAGTACTCTGGGACATTGGGAATCTCCCTGAGGTGCTGAGGGCAGCCACAGCATGGCCCAGCTTCGTGTTTGCTCAGAAACTGGGGAGACTGGGAGCCCCTGGTGTCAGATCTGTGCCTGGCACACCCCTGTGGATCCTCACATCCCTCTTGGCTGCGCGCCGCTCCTTCAGAGACGTTCACTCCCATCATTATTTAAAGAGCCTAATAACTGGCTTGAAACAGCTGATTAATGCATAATCTTCATCATGATTACACAGCATAACTGGCATTAATTTGCAAAGCCAGCTAATTATGAAAATAATTGTTGCAGTTCTTCCATTTGAGCAAAATGGAGACGCTCAGCTCGTGGCGTTGAGAGCACGAGGGGTGTGACATCAGCTGGCTGATGGCCAGGCTGGGGGACCCCAGGGGACCCCTGAAAACCTCAGCAGGAGAGATGAAGGAGCAGGGCTGGACAGCTGTGGGCAGCTCAAGCTGATCCCACAGAGACCTTGGGCAGAAACCTCGCCCAACTTCACTCTCAGAGATGAGAGGCAATGGGTGTGAAAATCTCACAACAAAGTCTCCACTTTCATACACCTCATATCAACAAATCCCACCCAAGAGAGTTAAACTGGAGCTCCTTTAGTGCTGTGTCCCTCTCTAAACCTATTTTGGCAGCTAGATCCCATGTCCTGGAGATCACTGGATGCTCTGTTTTGCTCCTGGCCTTTCCCACTCTTTCCTGTCTCTGCAGGTCTCAGCTCCTCATTCCTTCTTTCTTCCCCTCCTGTGGCTTGGCAGAGAGATAAAAGATGGCTGTGACAAGGTCAGTCATGCCTTGTGACATCCTCCTGAGGTTCATGAGAGGATTTGCTGCCTGATTTATGCATGGTGCTCCTTCACCAGCCAATAGAGCCCGAGGACTCCCCACTGCAGCACCAGGTGCTGTTCAACACACACTGAAGTTTATCAATCCAGGTTGGCTTTGTTTGCATAGGTATTTTTCTCTGGAAACCTTTTTATGCCATGTTTGGGGGGCCTTTGGTGCAGTGGGATCTGGGACTGGGAGCCAGCCATGTAGGAGATGCCTCACACAAGCTGCTGATGAAAGCTTTCAACCCTTATCACTTATTTTACATATTTTTTGATGAAGCAATCCATTATTATATCTGACTTCTTGGATTTTAAAATCAATCCCAGGCAGGTTAAATAATTATTCAGTTGTCTTTTACTCTTAAAGCAGACTAATTGCTCCCTGGAGAATGTCAGCCAGCATATGGGAAAACACACTAATTACAATCAGCTTCATGTCTGACTGCTTTATGCTATTTTATTTGATGACCTCGACATCACTGCTAAGGTGAGGAGTTTTCAAAATCTGAAATGAGATCCCAGAGGAAATGCTTGAAACTCCCTTAGGATTTAGTCCAGAGGAGCAGTAGTGGAGCTGGGCAGGCAGAAGGAGCCTGGCCTGGCACAAGGGGAAGTTTGGCTGAAAACCACAGAGGCTCTCACTCAGAGCAGCAGAACCTGAATCTCTCTTCAGGGTAAAACTGGATCCCACAGAACACCTAAAATCCCATTGATGGCAATCACAACAAGCCCAGCTCTGTCTGCATCCACAAAACTGCACTGCATCCTTCTGTCCCCAGGGATGGTGCTGGAAAACCTCGGGAATGGTTCCAGGAATGAGCCAGAAAGAGACCTGGACAATGTACTGGGAACCCTCCTTCACTGCCCCAGTGATCCCAGGACACGGCTGCATGGGCTCAGTGCCAGTGCAGTTATTTTTAGCTTTGTCAAGAGCTAAGTCAAGAAAGTCAAAGTATTTTAGGTTTTTATTTCTCCCCTCTTTTGCTTTTTACCAAAACAAACAGCTTTCATTTTCAGAAAGAAAATTCCAGCAGCCCTCAGCGTGCAGTGTGATCTCTTATCTTCTACTCCTTATAAATCACGGAGTTATTTAGCTTTGAAGAACAACTATTTCTGATAACACTTTTCTCTCCCCCGCTGACAGTGTTGTTCACACATTTAGACAGCTCTGACAGCCTCTTTCCCTGTGACATCCAGGAAGAAATACCTGGTTTGAGGCAGCTCTTACCCAGGATGGAGCTGGCAGAGCTCCTCAGGGACATGGGAGCTCCCCTTCTCTCACAGCCCTTCCATGCTCTGAGCTGTGGCTTGTGTGTTTTTTTTTC